AACTAACCTATAAGCCTCACACTCTTGACATGTTGATTTTAATTTCTCAATTTTTGGTTTCCTTGAAATATACCTACCATATATACTCGAGTGTAAGCTGACCCAAATATAAACCGAGGTACCTAATTTTATCACAAAAAACCGGGAAAACTTATTGACTCAAGTATAAGCCGAGGGTGGGAAATGCAGCAGCTACTACTAAATTTCAAAACAAAAACAGATACCAATAAAATTACATTAATTGAGGCATCAGTAGGTTAAATATTTTTGAGTATTTACCGGAATTCAAAGAAAAACAGTAAACTAGCTCTGTAAGTGGAAAAGTAGGGTCAACAAAAACAATATGGTATCAACAATAACTTAATAATAATAATAATAGAACTTCATTTGTATCCCGCCCTATCTCCCCTATGGGGACTCAGACCAGCTTCCAACATTTTAACAGGCAAACATTCAATGCATATATAAACAACGCAGAGCCAGATACGGAACTATAATTATATGTAGTAATTTCACATATACATTTCCCCTGAGAAGTTTGCAAATCCTCTCTATATGTGCATTTCCCTCCTGCAATATTTGTAAGTCTTATATATCTATATTCATATCAATCTATATAGAGATAATTATATCTATATAAGATTTGGAAAAGATTGGCAAACATATGAGGGGAAAATCCATATATAAAATACTCTATAAATATAGATACAGATATACAGGTATGTGGAAATCTATATTTATATAGGATTTGCAAAGACCTGCAAACATGAGGAGAGGACGTCCAAGGGCACAAAATGCACATATAAAGTTAATACATTTAGATATACACACAAAAAACAAACAAACAAAAAAAAAAAACCAGGAGGGTGGGTTTGAAAGAGAGCCACACAAACAAGATGGTCATGAAATATATCTCCTTTCCCTCATTTCCTCCCTTTTGACTGGAAGAGAAAACACACTGTCAAGGGAGAGAAATATAAACTATATAGCAACAATGGCCTCCAGGCTCCCTCGCCTGCCTGGTTTTGACCCCATTATAAGCCGAGGGAGGTTTTTTCAGCTCAAAGAAGGGCTGAAAAACTCAGCTTATCTTCAAGTATATACGGTATATAATCACCTTTTTACATTTAATTAGCATTTAATCAGGAAACTCATCTTTGCCTCCCTCCTGTGATGGGTTCAGGTGGGAAAGAATATTTGTAAGGACACAGTAGTAATAGTGCCGGCTCACCAATATCAGTGAGAGAAGGGAAATGTCCGATCAGGAGCCTTCAGAGCAACACTGCAAAAGTTGAGATTGGAAAAGTACAAACAGAGCAATCTGATAGCCCACTAATTTATTTATTTTTAAGACAAAGATTTGTGCGTGGGAGTGCAGGGGACAAGGATCAGCATAAGGGGAGTACTTGACTACCTTGTTCTCCTTCCCTTTTGTCAAGAACACTCAAGGTAAATCCTGAATGTGATTTACTACATTTCCATAGGTTCAAGCTCTCAAGCAGGCAAGATAAACTTCCAATTAATAAAATAGATATGTTCCCAATAGGATCCATAGAGAACAGAAAATCCCAGTTATACATTGAAGAAACTGGAACAACATGGCATAATAAAGATTGGGAACATTTTGAAACCCGACGGAACAGTAATACAATGGGAGGAGATAAAATACCAGTGCGGTCACAAAAATTAGCTATTTTGGAGAGGATTATCTAAAAAATGGAAGAGTAAGGAAATTCCAGAAACAGATCTCGATAAAATAATAACATGGAAAATAGAGAAGGAGAAAGGAATAATGGGATACATATACAAAATAATCACGGGAAAACTATACAATATAAAGAAAACCTTGACAGAAATCTGGAAGGAGGAACGAAGTTGCAGCGAGAGAGAAATAGACAATTGGATGAATTCAATTAATAAAATACAACATTTAAAGATAAAGGAAATCCAATGGAAAATTCAGACAAAGTGGTATATAACTCCTGTGCAATTAGCTCATATAACCAGAACCTCCCCAAAATAATGTTGGCTCAACTGTGGAAAAATGGGAAGTTACACTCAAATGTGGTGGGATTGTGAAAAAAAAAATACCAAAGTTCCATAAAATAATTAAGAAGGAAATGGAGGAACTATTAGGGATAAAAATTGATTGGAACAAGACACAATTTTTCCTACGGAAAATAGAAGACAAAGGGGAATCTAAAGAATGGGAGGGATTAATAAATTACATGTTAGATGCCATTAAAGCCTCAGTCACCTTAGGATGGAAGGATCAAAAGAAATGGGACACAAGAACATGGTATACATATTTAGTGGACTACCTCCTCCAAGACTACATTAGTGAAAGGAAAAGTTACTACAGAATGGGCCAAATCAGAAAGCCATGGGAGGCAAAATGGAAAGGCTTAATTTACAGAATAAAGGAGAAAGATAAATATAATGAATTAAATAAGATTATCCTCATGATTGAACAAGCGTAATCAGTACAGGAAAATTTGTAAACTGTTCCCGGAGAGGGGAGGGAGAAAGAGGAGAAATGATGTAAACATGGGTCACTAATGGAAAATGTTTTGAATGTTTGTATAATTTTGTATAGCACCAGTCACAATAATTTTGAAAATAAATAAGGCAAAAAAAAAAAAAAAAGCTCTCAAGCATGCGACTGGACACTGAATTTATTTCATGTTCCCAATGATTCAAATATGTGGTCACAAGATACTGAACCTTATGAAATGCAACTAAGTTGCATCATTTCCAGCAGTTATTGTCCATAGTTCAGTGTGATCCACAAAATAGTTTTCAGCTTCTTCTCTGATTCGTGTTCTCAAATTCTTGAGGTGGGCAAACCTTAGGCAGCCTGAGTGGTTCATTCTTCTTGATCACATCTTTATGGGCCTGTAAAGGCCTTTCTTTGGTCTGCACTGGTTTTTCTCAAAATAGGAGATGACTAGATTTGTAAACCTTCTGAGGTTGAAAGAAGACATCAACAGACCTTACAAAATAAGGAGGGGAATGAAAATATCGTGGATGACCTTACAGTTCATGTTTCCATTGTAGCTTTGGTGTGTGAACTGAAATGTCAGAGAAGGGGATGCTTCCATACATAATCTGAGAGAGGGCAGACCTGAAACAACATATTCAAAAAAATCCCGGGAGGCTTCTGCTCTTCCTTTTTGAGCAGCGGCATGAAGCTCAGTCTTGGCAAGGGCTTCACGGCTGCATATTGAGGATGGTTGAAATAATAAGACTCTCGAGTGGGGTGTAAATTGCCACGTGCCTCTCCAAAACCTCTTTCTGCAGCTCCCAGTGTCTCGCAAAGCAAACTGGATTTAAATTGGCTTTCATCCTAAAAGCCACTGGCACCGTTGACTGTCAAATTTGTGTGCCAGAATGTGGTGCCTACAACAACAAGTTTCCCAGAAATGAAGACAACCTGTATATTACCTCTAAAAATGAGTTTTTTTTAAGCTAGCAAGCTTTTGTTGTTCCTTCAATTTATTGTTCTACAGCTTCTTGCTTATTAGAAGGCCATCTTATTAAAATCAATATAAAAAAGAAGTCTACCAAAAGGAAATATTGGCAGGGGGTGGCTTTTATTTATTTATTTAGCAATTTTGTATACCGGTCTTCTCCCCTCTATTGGGGGACTCGGGCCGGTTTCCAACAATAAAATCACAAAACAATCATTAAAAACATCATATAACATATTCAATTAAAACGTTATAACAGCAAAATGCAATCACATAATAACAATGGTCAGTCGTCATAGTGAATTCGTTGTCCATCATTCATTGTCATCTATCCGATCACAGAAATACTGATTCACTCGTCGAAAGCCAAACCCCATAGCCAGGTTTTCACCCATTTTTTGAACGACAGAATGGAGGGGGCAGTTCTGATCTCCAGTGGGAGAGAGTTCCAGAGTCGAGGGCCACCACCGAGAAGGCCCTGTCCCTCATCCCCACCAGACGCGCCTGAGAGGCCGGTGGGACCGAGAGCAGGGCTCCTCCAGACAATCTTAACTACCTAGATGACAAATCTTCAACCCATGTCCCACATGGGGTGGGATGACTACAGATCTGTAGGTGATTTGAATTGCCATGTAAAGGTGCAAAATCAAGTTTGCTTAGGCACCAATAGATAGGTTTCTCTACTCTTCAAGAATGAAATGTTGTGGATCAAGATAAATAGTGTTTTCTGCATTTTGAGACAATTGAGATCGTTGAACCCCAGAAACAATTCTTGGATATTCAGCCTTCTGTGTAGGCACAGAACTTGAGTTCTGTGCCAGATCTCAAGTTTTCAAGCATCTTGTTTTGTATTAACTCTTCCATATGGAAATGTTTCACTCCGCTCTGGAAACTCTTCGCAAAAACGAGTTTTCAAATTGTTTAAAATGATTTGGCCTTTGCATGTCTTCCAGGAAATTGCTTTATCTTCATTGGGGCTTAATTGTTCTCACCTACTGCTTGAATCCAGGATCTCTGAATAGAATTCAGCCCAGTGTCTTAAAGAAGGTTACCTAGGCAAGCGAATGTTTAGGTATTGGCAATACTTTGTGGGAAAGATAGAGATATACTTCCCCATGCCAGCTTGTTCATAGCTTTTGCTTTCCCCAAGAAACAGTGTGTGTATGTGTATGAAACAGATTTGTATTATGGTATTGGTCTGTCTACTGTCCAGGGGCACTAGCAGAGGTTTTTCCCTGCATTTGCTAGTTGTGAGCCTATACCTGAAATGTCACTTATGAACATAAGAAACTTCCTTATACCAAGTCAGAATCTTGGGCCATCTAGTTCCATATGGAATGCATGGATCAGCCCTGACATTCCACAGTTTCATATAGGAATCTTTCCAGTCCTTAGATTGAGATGCTTGGAATTGGATCTGGGATGGTGCAAGTAGAGAGCAATGGCTTTTCCAGTGAATGTGGTGAAAAATCAGGAGGGTTCCTGGGTGACTGGATGAGACCAACCATGTTTCCCTGTCTTTCTCTGCAGAATCGCATTGGCAATGTCAGCCAGTTGCAGTACGAGCTCGGGAAAGTCCTGTGCGATGTGCATTCTTGTGATGGAGTGGTCATTGCTGGGTAAGCATGTGGTTTTATCCTGAGAGCTTGATTTGCGGTCTGTGTTCCTCTCCTCTCTCCCACCGCAATGGCGTAATTGGCTGTTGCAGTGGTTTGTGGCCAAGATACTAGAACAGAACTGACAGTCTAATTGAGGCTGCTTGGGGAGAGGGACTTCTGAACTCTCATTCCATCAAGCCAGTGGGCATATAGGGGTCTGATGCTTTCGCTGTTGCAGATACTAGCAACCATTCTCAGGACTAGCAGGCATGTCAGAATTACTTCCACTTTAAGTCTGCTGTGTTGATGAGTCTCTAGGTAGATTAACATGATTTTTTTTTAAAAAAACAACTCCAAATAGCTTGGGAAATGATGAAAACTGTGCAGCCTATGGGCCACATGTGGTTCTAAACCCCATATTACAGCCTCTTCCCCCCACCGTCGATGTCTTCAAAAATGGATGTATGTAGACAAGAAGCCATAGCATCTATAAAAAGCAAACCCTAATTTCTGCCCACCCCACCCCTTCCCCATGTCCCCCAAGTAATTCCTGACTAGCTTAGACTGTTTTCAGCAAAATGTTGCTATTTTCCTCTTTCCTTCACTATCTGGAACACAGAGAAGAGAAATTGCCACCGTTGCCAACAACAGAAGAAGGCATCATGGCAGAGCTTGCTCATTCCTTCCCCCATCCTCCTCTTCCTCTCCCCCAGCTGCCTGCCTGGCTTGTAAAATTCTGCTGCTGTTACTATCCAGTTGTGCTGTAAAGACATGCTTTGCCCAGTGCTTTACAAGGCAGTCAGTCCTACAATGGGGAGGAAAGCAAATGAACGAGCAAGGGAAAAGGATGAAGGTGACCAAGGGGACAAAATGAGCTCTGCTGTACTCTTCCTTCTCCTGCTTGGTGTTTTTGCTCACCTATTTCTGGGAGAAGACAGAGAAGAGTAGTGAACTGAGGCAGGCAAACGGCTTTATGAGGATTACTTGGGGTGTAAAATGGCATAATCGCTGACGTTCAAAATATGGTAGCAAGCTGCAGCAGCATTTTTTTCTCTTGCTGTTGCAGCTTGCCAAGGACTGGAAGGGAAGGAAATGTGCCCACGAACAGTGCCCATCCTGGATCTAAAAGAAAGACAATGTCTCTTACTTCAGTTTTTAAGAATTAGAGCAGCCATTCTTCACTAGCATCTTCTACAGTCCTATTGCTTCCAGATAACAATTATCCTATACAGATAACAAATGCTGTTTGGTGGCAATAGTACTTGTAGTCCAAGATCTGGTAGGTGGCAACTAGAGAAGGCTGGACAAGAAGCTACAGTGGGCTGTAGTATAGGAAGGCTAATGCCAAGAGAAATCTGTCTGATTTTGAGACTCAATTGAAACAGATCAACATGGTTTCCCATCTAATAATTCAGGGTAGATACAAAAAAAACCCCTAACATTTTGAAAGTACAGGCAGTCCCTAAATTACAAACAAGATTGGTTCTGTAGGTTTGTTCCTATTGAATTTTAAGTCAGAACAGATACATTTTTAAGTGTAACTTCAGCCATATATATATATATATATATATATATATATATATATATATATATATATATATATATGAGTCTTTGGAGAGAGAGAGAGAGATGTGGGGTGTTGGATAGAATAGAGAAGGATTAACAGTTCTGTGGCATTTGTTTTGCTGTCTGTGCCCCTGTTCAGAAGATTTTACCTCACTTTTTTGTCCCTGTGATAATTGGATTTTGAAAAATGTGGTGAGAAAGCTTCAGTGAGGACACTTTTTCCCCATGATAACTCTTCCAGGAGTGAATTTCCCTCTCTAGGAACAGATTTCTCTCACTTCCTGTTGTCTCACCCCTTTCTTTAACTGGGAGTTGTTTGTAAGTCGAATGTTTGTAACGTGGGGACTGCCTGTCTTTCAAAAGTGGTAGATTCAAACATTTTTTTCTAGTTCTCTTGCAGAAATGACAGTGTTTTGATTTTAGCTGATCTCCTGAGGGGGAGTTTGTTTGTTTATTTATTTATTTGCGGTATTTGTATACTTCCCTTCTCAACCCCAAAGGGGACTCAGGGTGGTTCACAGTGTTGGCAACAATTCAATACCATTGATCAAAAACAGTATAAAACATCAAATTGACCCTCCCCTGATAAAACATTAAACATTATTAAACACAGTTCCATAAGATGATAGTGGCATACCTCACCAGCTCTTGAGATCTGTGCTGAGAAACAAATTGTTTGGTATGCAGGTCTTGATGTCCACAGCATGATGCTTAACTACTGTGCTTAAGAAAACTGGGGACTTGAAATAAAGTACTTGGAGGATTCTCTTCTTGTGTACCAATTCAAGGAGAAACATTTATGGAGGCATGTTTTGTGTTGAATGTGATGTTGTTATCCTGCATTTCTCTGGGTAACATTCTTGATTTGGGAGTTATTAGTGCAGTAATTACTGGGACAATTTTCAGTCAGTGTTGAACCAATCTATTCTGGATGGTAAGAGAGTGGAGTCAATATGTACTAGATGTAGACTGAAGGATAGATGGGGGGCACTTTGGCCCGCCTGATGTTTTGGATGAAAAGTCCCACAGTCCTTCACCATTGGCCATACTGAGTGACTCTAATGTAAGTTGTCAATCAGAACTTTTAGAGAATTGAAATTTCCCATTGCTCATTAGAAGATTCAGTCTTTGCTATGAGCTACTTGTATAGTGTTTCCATGTCACAAAAGTGTGTCTTGATTATTTAGTTGGAATCTGAAGGGTCATTTAGTCCAACTCCTGAAATGCAGGAATCTGCATCTAAAGTACTCCTGAGAGTTTGAAAAGCTCCAGTGAGCCATCACTTCCTTCTGAGATGGGTTAGTCTACTGTTGAGCAGTTATTACTTTCACAAAGTTTTTCCCAGTGTTTGCTTTACATTTTCCATGACATTATTTTATTTATTAAAAGATGATTATCTATCAGCTATTAGTCCTTCTCCAGACTAAAAATACTTAAGTCTCCCTTAACTGTTCCTCATATGACTTGGGCCCCTTCCACACAGCTGAATAAAATCCCACAATATCTGCTTTGAACTGGAATATATGGCAGTGTGGATTCAGATAACCTAGTTCAAAGCAGATATTGTGGGATTTTCTGCCTTGATATTTTGGGTTATATGACTGTGTGGAAGGGCCCTTGGTTTCCAGACCCATCACTATCTTGGTCATGCTCTCTTGAAGACATTTCAGTTTGTCGACATCATTCTTGAAGTGTGGTGTTTAGAAATTGATACTGTATTTGGGATGAAATCTGACCAAAGCATGGGTGCCATCCGTCCTATATTCATGAATTTGCCTTTTTTTTGCTGAAATGGATCCCTGTTGAAATTTGTTTTGTTAGTGTTGATCAACTCTCCATTCTGTTTCTACCCTATTGATCAGTTCATTTCGGCTGGTTAGAATAAATAAAATAGCCAACCTACTTCATGTCACCTCCACTTTTTGTTCAGTGAAATTGTCTGCAACGTTAGGAATTTGTTGGACCCTATGTTCCTGGCAGAGTGAGGACTTCACTCTGCCAGGAACATATCAGGGTGGTAAGTGTCCAGTATTACTATATGTCTTCTTTTTGAACTTTTTGTCATACGTTCTAGGAAGCTATCATTCAAGCCTCAGTGTGGTTTGGAGGGGGTTGTCTTTTGATGTCACTGTTGTTTAACTAACCTTAATTTTTTTCTAAAATGCTGTTAAATGAGTTTCATTTTTAAAGTCAGGGATCTTCTCATAGGTACCCATGTCCTTGACATGTAATGGCATTCATTCTTCATTCCTATTTGGTCTATTTCTTTGGGTTACGTTATGGCCTACTATCACAAATATGACTCATCCCACCACATTTCATTGATCCCTTTGAAATCATATTCGCCTTCTTTTGTTAACAGTTCAGGTTCATCTAGTTTGTTCCCCCTTGATCTGTGTAGAGACAGCTAAGACAATTAGTATTTCTGCCCAACGGTTTCCTTATTGATACACAAGCTGTACCTTGGAAATGACAACATGTCTTGGAGAATTTCCTGTAGGTGTCTAGCATAGATCCATCTCTGAAGTTAAGCCAGTCCTATCTTATCAGCTACTAAACAAACACTTTCTTGGAAGGGCCTCTCTGATTTTTTCCAATTCAACTAGAGGAAATAAACAAAATTAATTAGCAGGATTAAAGTATAAACATATTGTCTGGCAGAAGGTAGATTGAGATATTTTGGTAGATCTCCTGGTGATTTGCAGGAACATGGCAAGAGTTTCCAGCATTAACACTAACAAAAATGTCTCCTTTCACATAAAATAGGCTGCTGAAATTATGAAACCTGTAAGACAAAAGGTACCAATGTGTTACTCCAGTTTTGGTAGCAAAAAAACCCACATTTCTAACTTGTTCTATACAGTAACACTATGTAAACATGTCTTTTGTTCCTGGGTTATAAATGTTATTTCCTAATTGGTTCTATCATAAAAACATGGAAGAGGTTTATGAAACTGCAAAAACTTCATTTTTGCGGGACATTCTGCAGCATATTTTGCTCTAGTTTTTCAATGATTATCTCATCAAGTCTCAACCAATTTAACAGCCACAAAAATGAAGATTCTGGAGTAGAACAGCCACTTTCAAAGTAAGTACCACACAATTAAACAGGAAATAAACACTTTCAAATCAGGAATGGATAATTTTTCAAATTTTTTACATAGTGTAATTGTATGCATGCCTTCCTAAACTTTGTAGTTGGCTTCAGTTGACGTCCTTTGAACTTCTATGAAAAGCAATACTTCCAAGCCTCTTCTTAGGGTCCTTCCACACATCCATATAACCCAGAGTATCAAGGCAGAAAGTCCCACAATATCTGCTTTGAACTGGGTTATCTGAGTCCACGCTGCCATATATTCCAGTTTGAAGCATATAATGTGGTAATTTATTCAGCAGTTTAGAAGGGGCCAGGGATGTTAAAACACCAATAAATACAGAAGGAAAGAACTTGGTAG